CCATACTACCCTATTTTCAGTCTATTATCCCACAAATTCTTCTTTTATCAGCCAACTGAACATTTCCCCCTAATGTATGTTATCTTTTAAATTATGTTTTATTTACCTATTAATTGATTACCTGCTGTGGATATCACTCTATATAAATAAGCACTGATTGTCCAGTGACCAGGCAGGAAGTATAGGTGGGACAAGGAGAGAGGAGTATTGGGGGAATAGGAAGAAGGAGGGGGAGACTCTCCCGCCACCGCCAGGACAAGGAGCATGTAAAGATGCCAGTAAGCCATGAGCCATGTGGCAAGGTATAAATTTATAGAAATGGGTTAATTAAAAAAAAAGAAAGAAATGGGTTAATTTAAGATATAAGAACAGCTATCAAGAAGTCTGCCATGGCCATACAGTTTATAAGAAATATAAGCATCTGAGTGATTATTTTACACTTGATCTTAGCCACAAGGCCGAGACGTGATCTGAGTGATTATTTTATATGTGGGTTGTGGGACTGTGGGGCTTGGTGGGACCTGGAGAGAAGCTCTCCAGTAAAAATTACCATCATTTCCTCTAGTAAAAGCTAAGTTCCACCTAGGCAATCACTGTTCCTCTTTTATTCACCAAAGTAACACATTTCTATTCAGCTCCAATATTTTTTTTCAGCTCCAGTATTATCATGCTCAATGTGATACTCTCCTGCATCACTGATGTCCATTTTAAATTGAAGATTTATGTGGAAATTGACAGAAACAGAGTTTCCCAAGTAAATGGTATTCTGAAAGGGAAGCTATTTGCATGTAAAGAGGAAGTGGAACAGCCAGGAGAGGAAAGTCAAAACCCTTTGTTTCTGTTCTCAGGACAGGTTGGAGGTCTAAGTTAAGAATGGAATGCCATGGCATAGGGGACTAAATTGGCTATCTAATGCCTATTGACAGAGCAGAAAACTAGACCCAATATTGTCATTTGATATTTACTAATTACAATGATTCTGCAACAAGATAAGACACTTGACCTTCTTTTTGTAAAACCAGGGAAGATTTGTATGACCTTAAGAATTTTTTTCTTTTTATTTTTTGAGACAGGGTTTCTCTGTGTAGCTTTGGAGCCTTTCCTGGAACTCACTCTGTAGCCCAGGCTGGCCTCAAACTCACAGAAATGCATCTGCCTCTGCCTCCCAAGTGCTGGGATTAAAGGTGTGTACCGCTACCACCTGGCTGAAATTATTATTTCTATATAAATCATTCTTGATGGAGTTTCTGTTCCACTAAGAGGGTCTTTTTCTTTTTCTCAGAGGGTTCTTTTCTCAGAGTTGGGCCATACCCTGACTCACAAACCCCTTTTCTCCTATTCTCGTTCAGCCTTGGGATCTTTCCTCTGTCACTATTCTTTGCTTTCTTAAGAGACAGCAAGTCCTAGCCTTATGGAAGCTGCTAAGATATGAGAGACTTGGGGATTACCAGTTGATAGTCAGCCATTGATACCTAATATAAATGTAGTCCTCAAATGCTCAGAGATCTGCAGAATATGGCATTTAAAATGTTAATCAAAAAAGCTTATTATATCAGACAGAGACTCCCAGATCCCATCAGTGACCCAAGGTCTCCAAAAAAGATGTCTCCATCTGGATGATGGCAACACTGACCTCTGGGTAAGTTGCCCAAATGCAATACCTGCCACCAGGACCCAGCCCAGACTGTGGACAAACAGCAGGACATCAGGGAATTGACACCCCCTTTTGCAAAGACAAAATAAGATCAGTCTTCCCTATCTCCCTCAGGAAAAAAACTTCTACCTCATGGTTCTGATGTGTCAAAGATGGATGCTTTCTGATACTTCTGCCAATGATTTGGAGACCTGGGTATGGCTAACTGGGTATGGACTAGTCCTTGTCATTTTTAATAGATTTGAAAGCTGCTCTGTCCTTCTCAGATCTCTGATTCCATTTGATGACAAGGCTTTACTTCAGCTGCTTTCTCAGTTCTCTATATGAAATTCAGAGATACCCCTCTCCCAGGGCTAATACTAGGTCTAAACATAATTTACCTATACAGACAGGTGTGTCTTATTCACAAACTTCATGGTACAGGGTAGACTGGTTTCAGATATAACTCCAGAGGTTCAAAGTTTTAACAAATGATTCTTAAAATTTTTAACCCTTTTGCCATGATGCAAATCCATTCCAACTGTCTTAGAGATACCTACAGACTCCTGGGAAAAGTTCTGCTATGTACCAAGAAATCTGGTCTGATGAAAACTAGCAACCTCCAGAGCCCATTTTTGACTGCACCCATTTTCAAGCATATTTTACAGTTTCCCTCTTCCTGCCTGGGCCAAGTGGCTCTCCAGATATGCCAATACCTGTACCAGCTGGCACCATCTCTGAGGATGCCAACTGGGACAGATGCACCCCCATCCCCAGAGAAATGGCAGATGCGATGGCTCCTGCACTCCTAAAGAACACATCATCCTTCAACTAACTGCTGGTACCACCTCTACAGGCTCAGGCAGGTACCTGCCCAGCAACTGGAACCTGGTTTTCCAAGATGTCCCAATGAAGGGCATATCTGCTCTCATGTCTCACTCATTCACTCTTGCCTCTTCTGCACAACCAGGGTACTTCTCCATGCCATTTTTTCTGGCAGTTATCACTCTTTCCATGGCTAGCCCAGCTCATAAGGCCAATGATAAAAATCTATTTTTTCCTCTAGCAACCTTAAGGAACAGATGTCTGAGATCTTCACAATGACATTTAACTAAATGCTTCTTCACTCCCACCTCCCTCTGTGTGTGACTCCTGGTACCGATGCCCCCCATCCCCCAGTCTCGGGAATTCGGTGCCCTTGTTCTCCCACTTGCTTCCATAACTCACCTCTTTCTATAATAATCAAAATGGAGGAATGTTGATATTCTGATGCACCCCTTGAAATCCTGCCCCTCCCTTCATCCTGACGTAAAAGCCTCATTCTCAGAAAAACTCCTCTCCCTCTCTCTTCTTCCACTTTTCCTCTCATAAGGTGTGCACCCTTGGCCTCTCTCTCTCTTCCCCTCTCCCTCTCTTCTCCTCCTCTTTCCGATCTTTCTCTTCATCTCTCTATTATAATAAACTCTCCAAGTAGATGCAGCTCCTGGGTGAATGTCTTTTCATGTGCTGCCACCCCTGCTGCATCTCCCCAGCATGTTTTCCCTCACATGTGGGCCCTGGTCCAGCCAGCCTTGGCTGCCCACCCCATGTGAATAATTCATAACAGGTACAGCTATCTTGTAGATGAACGGTCATGATTGACAGGTATCATAGGCTCCAAAGCAATCTATTTTCACAGTGTCATTTACTTGATTTTCAGCCAAGACATTGTGGTACAAAAGGAACATGCCAGAGACATTTTTCCATTATTTTTATAATTTATATATGTTCCTGCATTACTTTAATGTAAGAATGTCCCTACGTGTCCCTGCTTTTACACTGTGATCATGTTCAGAAGTGGATTTTCTAACTGAGCATGTTTAGGAACAGGCAGAATTCTATGTGAACATGTCCAGACTCCCTAAGTTAAATCTCCATGCTTCATTGTTTAGGAGAAGCATTGCTTTGGAAATAACTTCCATGCTCTCCTTGCATCCTGTAGATAAGGAATCTTTCTCAGTTCTCTGTTTTGGCTTTTGTGGCAGCTATTCTTTGTAGTCAAATTGACTAACTCTGGAATTAACTAAAACCCAAACACTTGGGTACACCTGTGAGAGAATTTTCTTACAGGTTTTGAAATTAAAGACCCATCTTTAATCTGGATCATTTCAGGTGATGAGATCCACCTTTAGCATCTTTTTGGAAGTTCACACCTTTTACCTCAGCACTCAAGAAGCAGAGGCAGCTGACTTTTCTGAGTTTGAGGCCTGTCTGGTCTACAGAAAGAATTTAGGGGTTACACAGATAAACCCTGTCATGAAAATACCGAAAAGCAATCAAACCAAAAATAAGACCCACCTATAATCTGGATCACACCATCTGGCAACGTATATAATGATATTGAAGAAAGAAGCTCTCTCTCTTTGACTGCTTGCCCCAGCCCTGGCTACCAGACTCATTACTTTACAAAGCCTTACAGCCTATTTCTTTAGAATTTTAGTGCATACTGAAGACCAACTGAGACATTCAGCTTCATGGAGTGAACAACTATTGGATTCTTCAAATTTCCATAGGTAGACAGATATGGTTGGACTAGCTGGACCACAGCTTGTGAGACATTCTAATAAATCCACTTTCTACATACATGGAGAGACTGATTTATACAAGTCCTGCTCATGTAGAGAACCTTGAACAATGCAGTCATGATTTTATTTTTCACTGCCCCCTGAGGAAGATGTGCTGGCATACAATATTGCTCATTAAGGCATTCTTACTAGCTCCATTATTCTCTAAGTATTCAACTTACCATGAAGACTACTCTTTTTATTATTATTCATTTGTCAAGAGTTTGCCCTTAATTCCAGAAGAAAACTTCAAAATCAATGTAGCCATCATCCAGCCTTCTGATGAGAGACAGATTTATCATTATGTTTTTTCATCTGTTTCCTGCATTTCTCTCCTGGTTCTCTTAGTGCCTGTGACTAACAGCTAAAAAGTACCTTCAGTTCACCTGACCTCAGCCAGAAGCCACAGAACAAACATCTCCTTTGGTGTCCCTAAATCCCTCTTTAAACTTGTTAATATTCTAGGCCCCCTTCCACTAATGGGCCAGGGAATCACTGCACTCCACTCTGAGTAAATGACTGTGCAAGCTACTTTCATTGAGTCCAGGAGGAAGAAAGGGAAGTGCCTGTGGAATGCAGGAAGATAGCAGGATCAGCAATTGGAGCCAGGGGCAAGTGCTATTGAAATGCAAATCTATACAGTCTAGGTCTGGAGTGGAAGGTACGGTAAGGATCCAGTGTGCTGTGTCTTTAAGCACATTGTAACCTAAGGGAGGAGCTCTTGTCACTCATGCCTCATTAGCCAATCAGCACCCGCAGGCCGAACTGCTAGTCAGAAGTGGTGCAGGGCCCTTCTGGGAGCCAGGTTGCAGGCTTGGCTTTGCCCAGAAGCTGGATCCTTTGTTTTCATTTGCTGTCCTGCGGATTCTGCTACAGGGAGCTATGAGGAGGCCATGGGTGAACATGAAGGCCACGACATGGTAAGCTTGGAGTTGCTGTCCCCAGATGGGGAAGAGAGGATGGGGAGGTATGGGAGCCAGTGTGGCAGGTCCTCCCAGGGGCTGGGTGAGAATCTGAAGCCAGATTCCCTTTCCTGTGAATTCCCATGCAGTCCGTGCAAATTCATGGACCCGCGCATAGGTCTCTGAATAACTTTGCTCTGTGGCTACATCTGTGCAAAACATTGGGAGCAGGGAGCTGTGTATAGAAACATATTTGTAGTCAACAACAACATGCTTTTGGTGCATCCATAGCAGGCAGATTGCCAAACTTGGAAAGGTCTGAAAGACCCCCACTCCATTATGAGGACACAGGGCGTTGGGCCGATGAAATGCGCCCCCCCCAGTCCCAATAACTTAGCCTAAGAAATGCCATTCTGAAGGAATCAGAAAAACAGGAGTTCACAGCTGTGGCCAGCCATCTGGCCTTGAGAGAGAGATAACTGTGGCCAGCCATCCGGCCTTGAGAGAGATAACTGTGGTCAGCCACCGGCCTTGGGAGAAAAACCGTTGAGTCAAATCAGGATATTTATAATTGGCCCCCTGGCCTTGAGGAATAAGTAGCTGGGCTGGAAAAATGCCCACTGTACCCTGAGCAAGGCCAAGTCAGCCACATACATCAAATTTCCGAAAATTAAGAGTACGTCCCCAAGTTCACCCTGGCCTTCTTTGAAACAACCAATAGGAGCCCTGTAACTATGCTTCTCACTTCTGTAACCGCGCCTCTGCCCCTGGGATCCTATAAAAAGTCCCCCTTGCCCTAGGAAGGGGCACAAGTCCTCCAAGAGACTTCGCCCCAGATACCTGTGTATCTGAATAAACCCTCTTGCTGTTTGCATCTGATCTGTGGTTTCAGTGTGTTCCTTGGGTTTGGGGTCTCTCCTGAGGGAAGATCTCCCCTGGGGGTCTTTCAGGTCCAGTTTCCCCAGTACCTTCTAGAGGTTCAGCACTTTGCATTTAAGCTTTACATGTAAGATCCATTTAGAGTTAATTTTGTGGAGGTTGTAAAAGGCATCTCTTGTGTTGGGTAGCACTCCACTACTTAGCTGTGATGTGGAAGAGTAGAACTGGTGATATAAAGGACTACTGAAGAACCAAAGCACCCCCATTTCAAGCAAGCCCCTCACCCCAACTTGAAAGAGGCCTGAGTTTCAAAATTCTCAGAGCTGCTGACATAGGTCCCAGGACAAAGTCAGGATGTTTGAAGAGCCATCTGGTAGCAATTGATTAGCCATAGAATGTCCCAAAGCCAGAGATGGTCAAAGTACAAAGTCAGGATGATTGAAGGACTATCTGTTAACAATTGATTAACCACAGAATGCCCCAATACTGGAGGTAATCTATAAAGTTTGGCAAACAACTGGTTAAAACTACAAAGTAAGATAACACAGAAATTCTGGAAAGCCCCTAAAACTTGAGCCAATCAGAATTGTACCTGTACTAGCACCCCTAAATGACACAACCTTGTGGGTTTTACCTTTAAAACCTGAGCTTGCAGAGGGGCGGGCACCTCCTCCAGCCTCTACTATGTTGGACAGCTTGATGAGGTCCCTGCCATGCGGCTTGAACTGCTTCAATAAACCTTGCTTTTGCTTTTCGGTGAGATCAGGTCTCTGGTGGTCTCTTTGGGGGTCTCATGCCCAGGGCACAACACTTACCAATGCTTAGAAGATAGTAAGTCTCACAAAGTAGAGTTAAGCTGAGGGATGACTGCCTCTGAAACACCCCAAAGGTAAGTATAGGCTAACCAGACTTGTTAGAGTTAAGAATACTAGGTTACACTTTTTTTTTTTCACCAAGAGTGTCCAGACATTTGGCTCCAAACTATTACAAAAGAGACACCCTGATTTACAACCAGCCACTAGGCCCATCCCTGTATCAAAAAACAGGCCTCTAGCAAGCAGCTCAAGGAGTTTACAACCTAACATAAGACCTGCTGTGCCTTAAAGATCCAGTTTTCTTTCTTGAGAAAAGCATAGTTCTGAGAGACAGGCAATATGACACCAGCTCACAACTATTTAAAAAGTAAAACACTATTGTGTTAAGGACTGGCTTATTCAAGCAAGGCATTCATTTAGGCCCTTAGGCTAGGAAGAGGAACATTCTTGGGAGAGCTAGGAACAGCCTGGGGCCTAGACCTTCAGAGCTTTGCCTAAGGCCTTGAGGTATTGAAAATAAAACAGCCCCTTGTCTGAAACCAGGAATGTAGAGCTGATGATGGTCTGGGGCCATGACCTTCCCACCACATGGAGCTACAGTTATCAGTCTTAAGGCCACTGTAAGAATAGTAATGTTCTTGCCGTACCGTGATCCCCCTGTGCAGCATTGTTTGATTAGCCTCTTCCTGAGTATATCCCATTGTATGATAGTTTCATCTGACTTTATAGAAGTTTCTCCTTTCCTTCTATTCCCCCTGGAAGTAGCATACAGGTAGCTATTCTTCTTAAGAAGCTTACTTGACATGAGACATAGCTTGTGCAAAAACCTCCTCACCCCAGCTTTTATCTTTCCTACCTTCTACTTTTCCTGTCTTTCTCATTCCCTGACACCTGCACCTCAGGACCCTGTCACTGAAGAATGACCTGCTCTTTCAGGTCACAGGTGTACTTCAGAAATAATTCTGGTAATACCTTTTCTGTATAAGTCTTCCTTCTGCCTAAGTGGCTAGACTTGCAGTCTCCTGTCCTGATTTACATTGTTCAAAGTGTAACCTGGAGTGTGAACCTAAAAGACACTTAAGGATGACAGCATATGTGGAATCCAAAATCTACCTAGACTGGCTCTTTGAGCATTAGACAGAGATAGGTGTATGTTCTCATTAAAGAGAATTTTCTTTATTAATCTCGTAAGTGTGTAAAGTGATATTTCCCGGGAAGGCATATTAATTCTAGAACAGCTGCATTTCTGGCCTTGTAGAAAAATGTTTCTGAGACAAGTTATCTTCCATTGACTCAAGTGGCTTTGATTTCAGACTGTTGCGTGCCATGGCAATAACCTTGTTGTCCTCTATATTGCACCTGCAAAATTCTTAAATGAAATGACTATACCACCTCAGAGTTTTAAAATTATGCATTTGAGTTATATAGTAAACTATCCATTACAGTTACAGGAAAAGAATTTTCATCTGGAGCATAGCTTCTGTCTTTAGACCAGAATAGGAGGAATAGTTTATTGTGTACAGTGCAGAAGAAAACAGAATAGACAGACAGTCAGCTGCTGGAGCCACCATTATGAAAAAGGACCTGATTGTGGCAGGAGGTGTTAATTTCCCAGCATGTATTAATTCATGTCATGTGAATGAAGACAGACCAGATGTTGGATGTACAATTTGAGGAAGTACCCTTGAGGCAATAAATATTGAATTTCCAATTAGGGAACTCTCCTGTGCAGGTAAGTTCCGTCCTGCTTGACAAATTTAAGTCAGCTTAGAGGTTTGAGACACTGACCATTGACAGTAACTCAGTGTGTCAGGTTATAGATGTTAGCAGCCAATATGTAAATACGGAAGATCAATCAATCTCTTATTAATTCCTTCCTTCTACAGAAGGGTCTGCTCTTTTTCAAAGTCAATATAGCTAAGGTATTTATTCTTAAAAATACATCATTTTCTCATTTAAAAAAGTCACTTATTGAAATTATGTTTTAACTTTTTTTATCAGAGTATTAGTGCTCTTATCTCCATTTGTTTCTGTTCTCCCATGTTTCTTGTTCATTACGAATTTTATTCCTTTTTTTCCTCAAGTGCTATTGATTTATTTACTTCTGTTCAGAGCCATATCTCCTGTAGCACAGGCTTGCCTGGAGCTATGAAGTTGAGAATTGCTTTGAACACCTAACCCTGCCTTTACTGTGCAGTGCTGGAAAGACAGTCCTGCAACTCCTTCCAGGCTCAGCCTTGACTGGTCGGTGAGAAGGATAAGAGACCAACGAATGAGTGTCCTCCAATTTCTCTGATTTTTATTGGGCAATTATAAATGTAGACGGACCCATGCAAGAATTGAGTTCACTGACCAACATAGAAGGTGATGTAGTCATAGGGGCAGGAAGGAGGGTAAGAGCTTTCCTGCTGTGGCAGTAGTTGATATTAGCAATGTGAAGTCAGGTAATCAATTTTAAATGCTCCATAAATTTCCTGACTGGCCATTTCTTGAGATCTACAGATCACAACAATCAAGAATCTGAGTAAGGGACTGACCTTATCATGTATCCAAATTACTGCAGTTACACTAGTTCAATCAAAATAGAGAATCTTTGTAAAAAGTTGTGGCCCTGCCTAACAGGACTGTTATTTTCCAGTTTGAAGATGTACAGGCTGAGAGAAAAGGTGTGAGTAATCCTTGGTGTGCACTCATTCAATCCCCTAGGCTCTGGAGAACATGGCCCTAAAGCCTGTTTCAACTTTTTAAAATAATTATTTAAGATGAAAAACATATCATATTCCCCATTCTCTTTCTTGCCTCTAAGCCCTACCTGGACCCTTCATTGTTTTCTAATTCATGGCCTCTGTTTTGCTTTAACAACAGTCAATGTTTGTGTGTTACCTATATTTAGCTGCAGAACTTCCCAGCTAAGAAGCAAAGAGTTTGCTGTACTGGACATTGAATGTGTAATGGAATGTGCACACAAAGAACCCTGTATCTTGGGCAAGGAACAGGAAGTGCTCTGGGAGAGTCAAAGAATGTCTATTAAAATACAAACTTTCCTGACTAGGGCTCTGTCTGCTGGGCTGGAAGGGCAGAGGTGAGAAGGCCTTTAATCTCTGCTCACCCAGTAGGGGAGGTGCTAATATTCTGAGGCCCAGCTGGGTAGTCCTAGCTAATGAGGGACTCTGGCAAAGCTTAGCAAAAGGAGTTCTAGCTTGCAGGTTCTTTCCAGAATTCTTCTCTAATTTGCTGTAGGAAGTTGTAAGGACCACAAGCCATGCCCTGGTGAGTGTGGGCTGTTCAGAGGTCTGCTGCACTATCATTTATGCTGGGACTTGG